CGACTCATAGCGCCTGGTTGCATCCCCAGCTGGCATATAACCTTATAAACTACATTCACGAAAAATCTAATTTATCAGTATTTTACAACGGCTTCATCTATAATGTAAAAATATTGAATAGTGATATCAATGAAAAAGAATGATTTTTGCATTAATCTTTGACAAAATGATGGCCACCCTTATTGGCCGATTAGTGCTCATCATTGATATCTGAGATCATGTCGAAAACATTCGAAAGATATGCTAAGACAGCCAGAAGAATAAGTTTCGAAATTATAAACAAAGTGAGGATAACAGAAGAGTATTTCCCCACTCATATTTTGCCAGATGCGCAAGAGTTATGGAAGGACCTGCGTTAGCCTGTATTGAAGGAACAGTAGGCATTTGGTTTTACGAACCCTAACTTCCGGATGATGAGGCAAATTTGTGGATCCGTTCTGAAGGCGTAAAACAGGAGGCTTGTAAATAGTAGTCCACTTGGACTTTACAACTGCTCGGAGCAATTCATAGCAATGTGTAGGAGATCAATTTTATGATTCTACCCCAAGGTGCTGCGACCCAAAGAATAGGCTGCAACAATTATCGACAGCGGAACTAGAGACGCTATACCAATACTGAGTAGTGGTTTTTTTGAGTTTGTGCAAATTCGGAAATTCAACAATGATCACTATGGCAGTTTTTGCTATGCTGATTACTAATGTCTACAAATTAGATTGCTGCGAGGTAGTCGCCTAGAACAATAATTTGTGTAAAAAGTAGTATTGAAGAATGAATTTCGCATAATACTTTCTGAAATGCAAAAGCTGATATACATACATGTTCAATTTGAGGGTTGTCTAAAGTGTTAATGAGTCTGATTTCGCGAGATCTCATAGAAAAGAAGAAATGTTATCATGTGCTTAAACTTAAGTCACGCTGCGTTGAGCTGGGTTAAGTGGAATTGGCTAATAATATTCTTTGTATTTAAGTAGAGTTTCGAGACTACCAGTAAATCAGTAATATGAGATGTATTCACCCAATTTCGTTTAGGATGATGAAGGACTGATAGTCGAATTTTCATACAATGATATGAGTAGAGCTGATATTTCCATTGAATTTCACATAGCCTTGCTTACCCAAAAGTTGCTCTGATCCAGGCACCAGTGGACTGCAGTTTCGACCTCGCATCGGTATTATCAACACCCCCGGTGGGAGTCGAACCGTGACAGTGCAGAATGGGAGCTTGACACGTTAAACACTCGGCCACATTGCCACGAGTGCCCTTGGGCCACAGGGCAGATGTGAATTTCAAGGAATGGAGTCCTTTTGCCATATCATATTCTTTGATGGGTTTGTCGATAAGGCAACCGTAAATTTGCTATAATAAGGGACTATGTTACTCTATTGTTGAGCTTACTTCCATTTCGAGTGAAAGTGTTGCGTGAAGAGATTCGAAGGTCGGTTCCACAAGAAGATGACGGCGAATTCCTTTTGACCAGCTGTCGATTGGCTTTACTGGAACATTCATGATGACGCTGTTTCCTCCGATTCCAGTGAAAAGGTGCTAAGCATTCTTCCGTTATATGACGAACATCATCATAGCAAGGTATCATCGTCACAACAAAATTCAAGCTAAATTCAGGAAAACTCACCTTAAAAGTGCTATATATACTCTACATCTGGCTTTTTTGATCAAGTATAAAGTGATTTGGTTAGTTAAGGTCATATGTCAACTTGGATGCATGTGAGTGTGTCTGTCTGTATTTGTGTGTTCGCTTATGCACGAAACCCGCAATGATGGCTAAAAGTAATTAGGACAGCAAAAAGGAACGTGTGTTATTGGCCATCAAACTTTGATGCCCCTTATCTCCCTCTTTCTACATACATGTTATAACCATCACTCCGATGGCGCAAGGTTGGACACTCGTCTGATTTTGTTGATGAGCCTTTTTTTGTTTTGTCCTCAATGCCGTCGTTTTTTGCTGGAATCGACTTTCGAATCTTTTCACCCAACACTTTCACTCGAAATGAAAGAAAGCTAAACAATAATGAAACAGGAGATTCCTCAAAACCCAACTTTTCTTCGCATATATTACGTTACTCTATTTTTCGTATTTAAGTATTATTTCGAGACTACCAATAAATGAGTAATATCAGATTTATTCACCCGATTTCGTTTAAGGTGACGAAACTCTACTAAAATATGAAAAATAAGTAACGTAGTGGATCGTTATAGCAAACATACGTCTGATTCATCGACAATCCCACAAAGTATATGATATTGCAAAAGGCCTGGCCGTCCTTGAAATTGACATCTGCCCTGTGACCCAAGGGCACTTGTGGCAATGTGCCCGAGTGGTTAACGTGTCAAGCCTCCATTCTGCACTGTCACGGTTCGACTCCCGATTGGGGTGTTGATAAGACCGACGCGAGGTCAAAACTGCAGTTCACTGGTGCCTGGATGAGAACACTTTTTGGCAAGGCAAGGCAATGTGAAATTGAATGGAAACGTCAGCTCTACTCATATCGTTGTGGGAAAATTCTTCTGCCAGTCCTTCATCAATTAAACGAAATTGGGTGAATACATCTTATAATAATATTCTGACTCGACTTTTCATATCGAAGAAAAAGTTAGTTGGAAGTAATTCGTGAAATAGTCTCACCGGAAAGGAAGTAGGATTGCCTCGGAATCAGAACTGTTGGGTTTTGCGAAGAAGTCCTCGACTCACCTCCTGCAACTCCAATGAGATCGAGTTAACCTTTCGTCTGTACAGTGGAAGATATTAAGGTTATAATTCAAGCTTAATAAAATATTGCACTAATATGCTAAACCAAGATAGTAGAAGGCTGGTTGAAACTCTATCCAACAGATAAGTAGAAAGTTAAAAGTAAGTACTTCTCCAGAGAGATGTTATACCCCCAAGCGCGGGTGGCCCAAAATGCGCAAGGATACCCAATTTAGAAAAATTAATAACTAATAAAGTGTGATGCATAAAGCATCTGGATTTATTTACACTCAAGGCAAACGCGGAATCTGGTTATAGGATCTTGTTCAATCCATATTTTGGCTAATAACTACGCAGCTCAATTAGAGGTTCGTTTGTTTTAGAAGCACTCTTAGTTGCGATGTTATTAGCTAGGTATATGGATGATTACTTTGCTATTTGGCAACAAGACAGTTAGATTGGGTGAATTTCTTGAGCTGATAGATAAAATGGATGGCAATATTTAATTTATGGATGCCAAGAGTAGCAGGGTTTCAATTAATCTCTTAAGACAACATTGCTAGGAAGACTATCCTTTCGTAGATGGTAGGAAAGTGCATCACGAAGAGCTTAGTAGGTCGAACGCATCGGAGGATAACGGCCGATTCTCGAACTGCAACAGTCTGGTTTTAATACGCTTAGGTTGACACAGTCCACGGAATCTCCTTAATTATTTCAGGCGGAAACAGGCCTGGCTTTCGTCCAGCATCAGAAATATAACTCATTCTTACTAAGATCTCAAGTTAGGACCAGGTCAAGAATACTGGCGAGCCCTATCTTACGTCTTATATTTGATCATAAGTCATAAATGGGATTAGTAATCAACCAAATCAGACTTAGGAGATTACACAACCCCAGTCATGACTTTACCTGGGTCGCTAAACGTTGATAAACATAGAGCGAAGGTTTGACGAATGAGTTCACAAACTGACCTGAACGTGTAAAAACTTACGCCTCATTATCTCATCCAGACATGGTTACTGACTTAGGCAGGGTCAATCAGGGATCCTATCTTGGATAATTAAGTAATCAATGTTAAATATAATTGGTCAAATCCTTCTATAGCTATGTCTATACCTTTTCGTCTTTAAGTTGAGTAAATATATAAAACAGAAAATAGAGCCAGTCAGTCTTCTTGGTCTGGTATTAACTTGAGGCTTTTACAATAATGAGTTCTAGCTTTGAGGATGTCCATCAAAAAAAGGATTAAAGCTCAGCTCGTTTTCGCCCGAAACTATGGAGGATGTCTTGTGAACGACGCCAATCGGAAGGTCTCTTTAAAGGCAAATAACTGCAGCACGAGAATCGGGCGTCGTTTTGTGGTGAGATCAACCAACGAATCTCTTCGTGATGCACTTTCGTACTAAATTTACTATGAAGTTAGAAAAGGAGAACTGCATTTTCTGAATGTATTAGTAGGTAAAAGGTATAAGTTGGGTCGAGACGTGTATAGGAAATAGACACACTAGATTCCTTATTATTTTCTTATCTAGTCATAAAGGGCTTCGATGATAATAAATATTCTTCGCCTTGCAGACCTCAACCACAGGGACCAAGAAGTCGGCAGAATGAGGGACATATTATTTCAAAGCAATGACCCACTAGGATTAATAGATAATTACATTTCAGCACTCAGTAAAAGGATGAGGGGAATAATGATGATGAGAATAATGTAAAAAAAAGAGCAGCTCCAGTGGTCCTTTTTTTTGAGAATTTTCGAACCCTCCCTCCAGATCAGACTGTTATAAGTCTGTATACTCATTTGGTAATGTGAGGGAGATCTTCCGATTCGACTAAAAGAAATGAGCATAACACAATATCGCTTATAAAGTTATTGGTCCAAAAATCTGGACCCCCAGAACACATTGTCAATAAAGGCACTGAATGAAGTGATCTAAAACACGATTTTCTGGTCGCGTGGACTTAATATCAGTGTAAAATTAGACAATGGATAGAAAGTGACAAAACATCCAGCATCCTTAGCAGGAGGAAAGTGTGGAAAGTTGAGTACGAACTATTCATGGTTGCTGAATGGGCTTAAGAGGTGAACATGAAGGACTACCGTGCATGACGATGGAATGGCTTCGGGTCTCGTTAGGGCCACCACACCTCTCATGACTAACAATGTATACACGCAAAAGACGATAGTGCATACCTAAAGATGAGTTAACACTAGAGGATGGTAGGCTAGTTTATTAATGAAGAAGCTGCCACACCATCCCCGTCCTGTTCATAAATTTGCTTCACTAATGTAAAAGCATACAAAGTAAGCATGATGTAGCCAACCAAATCATGCAACGCCTCATCAGGATTGAATGACTAGGTATAAGAAGTGGCTAGAGTGGCAGACGGCAGCCTTTTCCCATGGTTTACTATATTGGCGCTTAATTTTGTATTGTGTATTCTTGCTCTGCAGTCGTCTTTAACGGCGGTACAGCTGAGCACGGGTTCATCGAAGTTGCAGAACAGTGAGTCGAGGGCTCCTTAGCACAATGCAACCGTTTTTACTTATTCGGTTTCTGGTGAGACAATCTAACGAATCCAACTAAATTTTCCTTTGAAATGAAAAGTTGAGCCACAATAATTCATTAAAAGATTTTTCAAAACCCAGCTTTTTTTCGTATAATAGTTTATTTGCCTGTAAAGTAGCAAGTAAAGTGTTTATAGCGATGTAAAGATGACTAACAAAAAGGTAGGCTTGTTTTGTGTTAAGGTTGGCGATCTCTGGTGCAATGGTACATAGAAATAGCAGATAGAATTATAAGAACGAATGAAAACAAAGATTAATTATCTTGGGCCGGTTTAATGTAGAAAAAAGTAGTAAAGCATGGATCTTATATATATATATTTTTGCCAATCAAGCTGGACGAGGAATCCTGCAGCACGCCAATGTGGAAGTAAAAAAGGATGATAACAATATGAAAGGCAGGCTGGGGATGATTTTTCATTTACAGTTGTCTGATTATAATCGTAAAGGAATCTAAAAACAAAAATCTGAAGACATTTGGTAAACATAGAATTCTAATATTAGGATCGAGAAACCAAAAAAACAAAGCAGATGATGGAAAGATGAAGGTAAATAAAAGGAGCTGTATTAAAGTATCTGCGCCTTAATTAGGAAAGAGGTAATTAACTGATGTGACGAATAATCCATCAACTAAGGATTAGGTGATAGGTTCCTTTTGAATAGGATTGGATAAATTCGCAATAATGATAACTAAAATGGAACGATTCTTTGGGTTGAGAAATTGAAAGTATGGCAAAATTCTTGAGAAATTGGGCAAAATACCAGCCAGTGATATAGCAGGAGTAAGGTGTAAAGGAAGGAATGAAGTTGTTTGAAACGTGACCATAAAGCGAATGAGTAAATGGAAGAATAAAGAAGCATTTATATAAATAAGCAAGGAAATAAAGGGCAAGAAAAAGGAGAAAAATGGAACTAAAGTTAAGAGGAGGGAAGGAAAGAATAGGAAAAAATAGTGAAAATTGTAGCAAGCAGAAGAAAATTTTAAGTATATAAATCTATGGAATGCACCCCAGTCAACAGGAAAGAAAAATATTCAGCGCTTGCGCTCCTGTTTAGCGACTTTTTTTTGTGCCGCCGCCTTTCTGGCTGCATTAGCCTCCAGTTGTTTAGCCCGATCCAATTTGTTTTGGGCCTTTCGCTCAGCCTCAGCCGTGCGGGCCGCCTGTCTGGCCGACTTCTCGGCAGCGACTTGTCGTTCGCGATTACTGCAACTGGGGGGCAGATCAACTTTTCACATCGTAAATGAGGAAATAGATGATAGACGAAAGGGACGGTAATATGAACATGGAAAAGTAAGGTCAGTGATTTTGGCTCGGTGCTA